CAGCGCCAAGGCGCGGGAGCCGCCGAAGCCCAAGCGCCCTGGCTTCAGCATCACAGCAGGGTTTTCGAGCGCGGAGTGCAGCCCGCCTCGGGACTAGGGACAGCCCAGGCCGGAGCCGGCGCCCTGCCCTGCCCTGCCCTGCCCTCCTCTGCCTTGCCTTGTCTGGGGTTCATCCCCGTCTCCTCCTCCAGAGCTCGGAGCCGCTCTCTCGGGGAAGCGCCGTGGCTCTGCAGCCTGGGAGCTTTCAGAGTAGTGTAGTACTTACAAGCCCACGTTATACTCCTGCTACTTGCCTTCATTTGGGATCATTCATCCGGGGCTGTTTCTCGGTTCATCAAGTGTCATGATCAAACCCTCCTCACCACTCACTTGTGGGATGCAGCTCTTTGAAAACTGGAAATTTATCCCCCCCACCCTAAGCTGAAAACTTTTGATCACAATCAGATTTAAAAGCTTTGATTTTTAATTTTTTTCGAGGGGGGGCAGGGAGGAGAGGGTTAAATGCCTTTTTCATCTTCTCTCTGGGCTTTCCCTTTGGTTCTCATTTTGGGGGTAGTGGGTAGCCTTCTGGCTTGAAAACGGCTCTTTTGCTGCATTTGATATTCAAAGGGGACCTGATTTAATTGGTTTAATCTTCAGCCGGTGCCTTTCTCCTTTTCAGTAGTTACAATGAGCTGCTTGCTTTTACTCGAGTGCAGATGCATGGGTGCTTTCCATGACTACTTGAATGATCTTCAGTTCATGAGGTTGAAGATAAGCTATCTTTTGAGAGCCACAGTGTAAATTATGGGTGTCTGCGTTCACTGGCACCTAGGTTTGTCTCCTTAGAAACCATGCTGGCACACTCCCCTTCCAACTACAGTTTAACTTTTGTTATTTAGCAAATTAATTCAGGCCAATACTTTAACCTCATAATCACTTTGCTCTCTCTCTTGCCTTTACAGATCTGGAAGAAAAACTTTGTCTTGGAGTTAACTCCTGGGAATTTTGAGGTCATTCATCATGAAGTGTGTAGCACAGGAATGGCCCAGAGTAACTGCCTTGCTATTCATAGCTCAAACAGTTTCTGCAATAGTCCTTCCCAATGCCACGTTATTAGATAAACTTTTGGAAAAGTACATGGATGAGGATGGTGAGTGGTGGATCGCCAAGCAAAGAGGAAAAAGGGCTATCACAGACAGTGATATGCAAAGTATCTTGGATCTTCATAATAAATTACGGGGTCAGGTGTATCCCCCAGCTTCCAATATGGAATATATGGTAAGGACAAATTGATAGTAACATCCAGAAAGAAATGCTCATGCTGCCATTGTATAGTGTGACACATTTGCAGTTTTAGCTTCCTGCTATTTGCCTGTTTAAAACACTCATTACCTGTTTACCTTTTATAAAGGGATAAAGTGTGATATGATGCTTTTCTAATTGTGGGTTCTATACTTTATTTTAGCATCACACTAGGATTCTACTCATCTGTACTAACTTTTTTTAGTGCAGTTGAGAATCTCAGTCATTTGTGAGAATGTACTAAAGAGACATTATTCATTATTCAAAACAATAAAATGATACTTAAGGAATTAAAAACTGAGAGGAGTGAACATCACATTGAAAAAGGTATGGGTTCTTCCTAAACTGAAAGGACTATCTGAGCAAGAAGAGGCTTTTTAATCAGAAACATTTCTATTTAGATTAATATACTGGCATATTATTAAACTGGACTTCTGTATATGTCTGTATTTTATAGAGTAGTACTGAGATGCATAATTTCTTCCTGTGATTTGCTTTGAAGAACCATTAGGTCTGCTGTGGTTTTGGTATGGGGTGGATCTGAAATTCTTTTTTCCTGAATGTCTGTTTCATAGGGTAATTCAGGGTTGCTTATAGCTCTCCATACTTATTAGAGCAAATCAGGTATACTAAAATTCTGGCCTTTTAAAAAGGCCAGTGACCTGCCAAGATAAGCTGTGTTATTTTTTTTTTTTTATTCTTACATTTGCAGAAAAATTCAGACCTGGTCATGATTCTCATGCTATGTATAATGTACTTAACTACAAATAACTAGATTGCATTATTATTATTATTATTATTATTAGGGCTGCCAGTACCACCTATTTTTACAATTGCCAAATACTTCTCATTAGAAGACCCTTTTTAGCTGTTTAAAATACTTTGTGAAACTTCAACTGTTTGGGCTGAAATTTTCCAGGCTGGGTATTTTTCTCAGGCTTATTTGCATAAGAACACAGTAGGTAAGAATAGGACTGGAGACTTCAGGAGAGCCAAAGGAAGCTGGAGCTGATTGGGCAAGAAAACTGGGTTTTGGAGCCAAAGGGCTCTTTGACAGGCTGGAAGACAGATGAAAATGGCTCAGATAATAAGACAGAAGAATTGGTGTATTGGGACACTAAGACTGAATGTCCCATGGAGTAAGATTGGGACTGGGAGCCAGTATAGCTAGAGATTATTACCCAGAGAATGGCAGCGGGAGGCCAGGCTAGCAGAGAGAAAGATTTGATGAGCAGCTAGAGGGGAGATTAGGAATCCCTAAACAACAAGACTGGGGAGGAGGAGTTACTGGGGAGAATAAGACTAGTTGGTCAGGGACAAAAGGGACTAGGGAAGAACACTGTGGGTGCATCTACATGTGCACTTCACTGAGGAGTATACTAATTAGCTCCACTCATCCTCAACTGTGAGGGATTGCTGCTGCCGTCGAAAGCATCACAGTGTGCTGGTATTAGGGCACAGTAAATTAACTCCACCGTAATATAGTACTATTGGGGACAGTACTATTTTACAGTGGAGTCATTAAGTATGATTAAGTGCTTGTGTAGACAATGACCACTGAGCACAAATTGCACCCAGTCAGCCCAGCTAGCTAGGGGCCAGCTCTCCAGCTCGTGCCAGCCCCTCTGCTGCCCGACACTGCCACCCAAAGCCTGGAGCTGATCCCCCGTTCCCCCTTGCCAGCCTGGGGTTGCTGTGCCCCAGTTTAAATTGCTACAGTCCCAGGTGAACATGTAGACACTATGCCTGTTAGCAGTGTTCTCCAGCTTGGACTGCTCCAGAGTTTGTGTTGCGTTAATTTCATGTGTAGATTCATCCAGTGACTTGTAAAGTAAGGTAGAAGTACAGTTTTGCTACTATAACTGCATCTACAATAGGGTTCTGTCAGAATCGCACCCACATCTGAGATAAGTATATCAGCAGAAGCCTCTAGTGTATACCTGGTCAAAGATTAAAACTAGAGTATCAAACTTATCTGTCCCTGTAGGTCAGATGAGGGGCACAGAGCTGGTCTGCAGGCTGGAGTGGGTCCACAGATGGGCCCTTCATGCTGGAGCCAGCATGTAGACCCGGCCCGGCCCTGCAAGCAGTATGCATGTTGGCTCCAGTCACATGTGGTGCCTGCACGCTGGATCAGAAGTGCAGGGTCAGTCTGTGAGTCTGATCTCGACCAGTCCTTTTATACAGCATGCAGGGTTGGGTGGGCATGGGTGCTGCATGCAGCATGCCCCCACGATTGGCCCTACGCACCATGCGCAGCACGTGCCCCAGACTGGTCATACATGTTGCATGCATCATATGTGCTGGGTCCATCTTCATGTGCTGTGTGCAGTGCACAGCAGACTGGCTCTATGCACCACATGCAGTACATGGGGCAGAGGCTAGCACACTCCGTATGTGGGGTGCGAGGCCAGTCCCACAGGCAGCACAACGGACTAGATTGGGGTGGACTAGATGGGACAAAATATGGCCCATGGGCTGAGTTCGACCCTCCAGGTAACAGGATCCAGCTCTCAGATGCCTTCATGGTGTTCTGCATGGGGTAGAGCCCCACCCTCTCTACACTGGCCAGCTCTCTCAGCTCCCTGCAGGGCTATTCCCGGGACAGCTGCAGCTGGCCAGGTGCTTCTGTGTGCCCCGCCTTCAGCGGCGGCTCCTGTTCCTGATTTTGCCCATGCCATGCTACATCCCTCCGGGTAAGTGGGCGGGCAGCTTAAGCTGGGTGGCTCCTGCCCCAGTGCATGGGGCACTTGCTTCATCTCCTGGTTGCCTTCTGGTGGAAGGTGGCCAGGAGCTGAAGCCAGAGGCCCACGTGCTGGGGCAGGAGCTGCCTGGCTGAAGCTGCCCACCAGCCTGCTGGGAGTGGAACAGTGCAGCATGGCATGACAGGGACAGAAGCAGGAGTAGGAGCTGCTGCTGGAGGTGGGGGCGGTGGGAGAACAGCACTTGGCCAGGCTGTGGGTGCCGGTGGGAGCATGGTGCAGGCTGCCCTGGCAAAAGCTGCCAGGACTTTGGGCCATGCGCAGCACTGTGCGGGTAGTATGGACCATACTGCCCAGGTAAGCTCTGCTGCACATACCCCCTGCCCCTTCCCCTCACCCATGGCAGGCTCCTGGGACCTAGTGCCGAGGCAGCCCCCACACACACATGCATGCTCCCCCCACACACACCCCACACTCCCCCTGGAGGGCAGAGGCATGTAGGGAGTGGGCCCTGGGCACTGGCCTTGAGCTGTCACCACCTCGTGACTCAGCCCTGTGATCCCAGCCTTGCCCACCCCTCCAGCTCCTGAATACTGCTCCCTGCCTGCCTCATGCCACAGGGAATTTTGGTAAGTTGTTGTGAGAGTAGGGGGTGCGGGTGCTGACCCGGCCTGTGACAGCTCATCAGAACTCCCCATTTGGCCTTTGGGCCCAAATAATTGCCTAGCCCTGGACTAGGTGATAGGTAGGGACCTACCAAATTCACAGCAGAACCGGGCTGCATGGCAGCTCCTTTAATTTTGCAGGTTCCCCCATGTGCCCACCCCCTCTGATTGGCAGAGGGCCCTGCCACTCACTCCTGATAGGTGGGGAGGTGAAAACCATGGTTTTAAATATGGTACTGTTTTTGCCTCCCAGCTGGTCAGCAGCAATAAGCAGGGCTACTGGGACCTCTCAACCAATCGGCAATGGGGGGGCGGGGGAAACCTGCAAGATTAAAGGAGTGTCCACAAAGTCCACTTCCACCGTGAATTTGGTAAGTCTCTAATGATAGGGCTTTTCCGGCTGGAACCAATTCATGAGCCACATTTTGACATCCCTGGTTAAAAGTCTGTCCCAAATTCTGTTGTATGATCCATGAATCTGGAGTGCAGGGGGCAAAGAATAAGGGGAAGATGCCTGTGATTGCCTTGCCCCTCTCTGACATATCAAGGGTACTGAAACTACAATATTTTGTTGTTTTTCAATATGCAGGAGAGAGAGTCCTCTTAGATGCTGTAGCCTTTGACAGTACCTTTAATGGATTCAGGAGGGAGGGAAAGGGGAAGACAACCCCTCCTTCCCAACAAAAACAAAGAAACAAAAGCCCCCAAACCACCATGTATGGTGTCCTGATATGATAGTACAATGACAGAATCTTGATTTTGCAACCATGTGTGACACAAATTTGCAATGATGAAATGTCAGGTCAATGCTATGATGTTACACAGTAATTATTTTGTGGTTCTTTGGCACTCCAGCTCCTTAGGGTTCAATTTCAATGATTTTGATCCTTATTTTTGTAAAATAAACTTTAGGTTTAACTTTATATTTTTTAATGCCATGACTTTCCTTATGGATAGTGTAACAGAGAGTAAGAGGCTCTTGTCACATAAAGAATACACCCCTCACAGAACCTATAGCTGCTTGAACAAGGGGGCTCCTAACCAGAAACCAGGTCCATAGGCACCTGGCAATTAATAATGGGTGCTGATATGCCTGTTGACCATTCCCTGCAACAAAGATTTTAATCTAGCATGGTCTAGATCTATGTTAGCATTAGGTATGTCTAATCATATTACATCTTTTTTCCTCAGGCCACTCTTAAGCAATTGAACAGTTTTTAGAGCCACCGTAGTATGATTGTGAGCCCAATCCAAAATGTGGACATCAATAGAAAGAAGAACTCGCTTTTGATTCTGAGTCATGCATTATAAAGATGCTTCATACAATATACATCAACAGGCATATGTGTGTAGGCCCAACTTGAGTTGTACAAGAATGCTACTGGGAAAGGGGGAGTGAGGACCTTGTTCTCTCTCTCTTCTCATTTGGCATCTAGGAGTTACAGTGTACTCAAAAGGACTCAGTTCTACCTGTTGGCTCTCCACAGCCCTAAGGGATTATTGTGGGGTGGCTGATGTGCTATTCATCTCTCCCCACTAGCCCTTAAGACTTCAGGTATGAGAGTGGTTGAGCACAGCCACTAGGGATGAGTGGGAATGACTTCACTAG